TTTTTATTGATAGAATAATCATACAGCATCAATTATGTGGGGTAGGAGAAAAAGATGGGTGAAACTAAATAATATGCTTTTGTCATTTAGGCCTTCAGGGGGACATGAGTCTGCTGAACAGATAATTCTTATCTGCTTGAGGACCAAGTGTTGTAACCGAAACCATATCCCAGACCCCCGGCCATAGTTCCAATCTTATCGACAAGGCGTTCCACTGATCAGCTTCAGTGGTCCCTTGTCATATATCAGTCAACAGTCCAGGTCATACCTCGTGATGCATACCCTTCCCAGGGTGATCCAGCTTTCTGCACTTGATTGATTTGAAAGGCGTCTTGTAAGGTTAGGCTCTTGTAACTGATTGGGCAGTTCTGAGCTTGTATAGGAATGCAGAACTGCAGGTAAGAAAAATGGTGGCTGAACAGGCTGCCTAAGTCTAGCAGAACCACAAATGGCCTTGGTTCCAACATTTTATTTTGCTAATGCTCTAAATTCCCATGCTTTCTGCTTTATCATAACACCCTTATGAGTGCCAACTATCTGCTTTCCAAGTGCCTATTTCTGTGCACAGGAAGGTAATACTTCAAAGTCACACAGTAGGACAGATTATTCCCACCAGTTTTAGATGGATGTCTGCTCACTTACCAATCACGTGTTTCACCGGGAACTTCACACTCCACTCTGTTCAACTTCTTTTCCCAATTCCTAATTTCTCACACATAACTTGAGTTCCTAACAAATTGCCTCAATTCCTAATACAGATAACAACAGTTCAACACTATTGAAGGGCTTATTATTATATGCTAAGCACTGTTCTAAGTATTTTACATCTACCATTACTTAATGGCTTTCATTCTCAGGTTTCTCAGTCCTAAAATGTCAATGACCACACTTTTCTGGGGTGTGAATAGAGTGAATGAAATACTGTAGGGCTGTACAGTAGGCACTCAGTAAAACTGAGTTTCCTGTTCATCCTGGAGAAAGTTATTCTCAATACCAATTCAATAATTTATCATAATCCTAATATACCCAAATCACTTGGCCTGGTGCCAAACCCGTAGTGAGTGCTCAATAAATACTAGCTATAATTTTTTGTTATTAAGCTCAATACTCATTCTCCCACTCAGAGCTGCTACAATACCATAGTCTATCCTTGTGAGATTATCTGAAGTGTACTTCTCTCCCTGCCCCTATTTTTCTCATTTCTTTCCTTCTCCATGTGCTGCTACCTTTGCTTGCATTGCTCTCCCTCCTCTAACCTGCTTGATGGATGACTTTCTGCTGACTGATGAAGATTCAGTGCAAATATTCTTTCTGCAGGAGGCCTTTCCTAATCTCCCTTTTACACACAAACACACAAAAACAGATTAATGTGACTATTTGCCCTTGGAATCTTCATATGTTGTGGTATTTAATCTTATTGGAATAACTTTCTCCAGGATAAACAAAAAATTCACTTTTACTGAGTGCCTACTGTATTTCATCCTACAATATTTCATCCATTTTACCCACACCCCAGTAAAGTATGATGGTTGCCATTTTAGGACTGAGAATCCTGAGAATGAAAACCATGAAGTAATTTCCCCAAAGATACACAACCAGTGAAAAATCAGAACTGATATCTGTAGGGGAAAGAAAATTGCCCTCTATCCTTCTTTGTTCTGTGACTGTTCTAACAGTCAAAATGACACAAGACAGATTAACAGGAGAAAAACTAATTTCATATATACAGATCCACATATACTCATGAGTCATGCATAAGCAAATAGTATAGCCTTCTTGAGCCAAGAAATGGAAGAGGGGCCTGGAACTTCAAAGGGAGGGAGAGGAATTCGTAGGGCAATAAAAAGGAACATATGTTAATATTAGATAATTAAACGTTTACTGTCCCATACTATCCATAGAGATAAAAAGTTATGTATGGTAATAGCTCTTTTTTCTGGGTCAGGTCTCTTATCTAAATTTTTTAAGATAATTTAGAGAGAGATGAACATTTGCCCTTGTTTCTGCTGGGCCTTAACTGCCTTCAGCTCAAAATAACCCACATGCCAAAATGGACTGCTTCAGGGAAACATTCTGAACTTTCAAATTCATTCCCAGGTCTGCTTCACTCTAAACTACTAGCCTGTGTTCTTTAACCTACACCCACTCCACATTCCTCAGTTTAAACCATTTTTTAGAAGTTGATACTTGTTTTAATGGGTGCTCTGTTCTTTATGCAAGCATGATTTTGCTTTGAATTTGATTTCATTGTGGCAGATGCTCAATGGATGTTATTTCTCTTTGTCATGCAATCATATTTTGTTGAACCAATTTCAAAGATTATCCAAATTCACAGGTACATTTTGCTCTACTGTCATACTTACTTGATATAAAATTTCTCTGGTTTGTAATCAACAACTTTTTATAAAGCCAGTAACCACTTATTTTAAATATCTCTTAAAACCTCCATCGTAATCTTTTTGGCATCTATTTTGACCTCAAAAAGTTAAAGTTGCCTGACCCATAACATGTAGCTCAGATTTTCAAGTAATATCACCAGTAGTTTGATTTATTTTACCTTTAATTTACCTATCCTTCAATTTCCAAGTGAGTAGTCTCACATTTTATTCACATGATGAGGTAAACCATAATCCAAATCAAGCATCATATGGGGGGGGTGGGGGAACAAATTACGTACAATGAAATAAAGTCATTGTAAATAAGGTTATAATGGAATAACAAATAGAATAGAGTCAAATAGAGTGGAATAAAATTAAGTTGAAGTAAGAAGATTACTAACAACTTCATCCCTCCCTTTCACATATTCCCACATCTAATATATGTAGGCAAATTCTTGTTAATTCTACCTTTAAATTTATATCAAATCTGCATTGCCTCTGCTTTATTATAGTTTTTTTAAGAAATTTTATTTACTTATTTTAAAGATTTTATTTGTTTTTGCATAGAAGAACTGGGGTGTAGGCCAGAGGTGCAGGGAAGGGAGAGGATTCACCAGAGACAGAGTGGGGAGCAGAGCAGGCAGATACACTGCTAAGGGGAGCAGCGGGTGAGACAAGAGAGGTCTGCTGCACCATATGTGGGTTATCTCCCTGGCCCTCCAGATGGGCTGTCAGTGGGCCTTCACAGTGATAGTACTTTATCCTAGTTTAAGCCATCTTTGCCTCTTACCTAGAAAACCGCATATTCCCTTAAATGATTACCCTGAGTCTACAGCTCCTACAGCCATTCATACTTCTGCACAAGCAGTGAGAAGTTCTTTAAACCATAAATCACTTTTTACCACTCTTTTCTGAAGTAGATCTTAACTTTGTAAATAATACTTTGCAAAGTAGACAGTACATAAATCTGGATTTTTCTTGCTCGAAGTTACACATTTTAATTGCCCAAATTTGGCGAGATTATGAGTCCCCTGTCTAGTCTTCTATGTAGTGAAGAGCACTGATAAAAAACATATGCCACCCTATAAAACATGCCTTGCAATATCCAAACTGTTCTTAGTAGGACAGCTTCCCATCCAGTGGGAGAGAGAACAAATGTGTCAAAATTCTGGTAATAAAGATGGCACAAATGGAGAGCCTTAGAAATGCAGTTATTAGGTGTCTAGATCTGATTTACAGATCTAATTAATGGTAGTGATGTAGCTGTACTGAAAAAAGAAGTCAAGAATGCCATAGGAAAAGTATGTAAATCTTGTGCAGAGGAAAAATTGATAATAGTTGTTAAGTGTGTGAAAGTCATAGAAAAGTGAGTTGGATCATAGTGTGTTAATATACACCTAAATATAGCTGTGACTTTTCATTATTGCTTCTGTATGAATCAGTGGTGTGAATCAGGACCAAAAACCATTGTATTCTGAAAAAAAATGTTTTCTTATCTGATGTTAGGTGAGTAAAAATACCAGAATTCCTGAGCAGAAGAAAGCATATGCACACACAGTTAATGTGAATGTGTTGTTACCAAATAAAAGCATATCTTTAATCATATATATGTATTTAACTTGTAATTACCAAATGAAAACGATGTTCATATAGTTCAAAAGATATTTGCCAAACACTCAGTGTTTTCTAAGTTTAGAGGTGTAAGACCCTGGATTAACTAGTTGTTCTTTGTCACTAAGGAGTTGATCCATTCATAACTTCCTGAATTCCCATTCTCCAATTGTGCAATTCAGGGTAAGAAAAAAGTAGGTATGAACAAGAGAGGGAAAAATAGATAAAATTCCTCTTCTCCAGGAGCCTTCTGTTACTGGTTCCTCCACCCTTGTTTGCCTTCCCTTTTTTTTTTTTTTTTTTTTTATCATTTAGTACAATTGTTTCCCTTTTTACTGTGGACTTTTTAAGCATGATCACTACTGAGCAACTGTCACAGATGCTGCAACTATCATAGATTTTGCAAGTTTGCTTCTGGATTCTTAAGTACATTTAGTTTAGGAGAGTATTAATCATGGCTTCTACTTCAAACCCAGTCTCTGAGGATACTTCTCAAGGTAAGAAACTTATGAAGGAGGGGTTTTATGTCCTAGCCTTGGCAGAAAAAATTTTGTGCTCTGCTATATTTGCAATGGAAAACTTCTAATCATCTGTGCTGAATTGAGTTGTCAGCCACTTATTGGCCATGTTGTAAGTTTTCAGAAACAGTGATGCTATTAAACCCCCTCATTTAATATCTTATGTCTTTGCCAGCTAGCATGGATTAGTGGTTCAGTTCTGACTCTGGTATGGAAATTTTTCTGAGCAAAATTGATAAAGCTCTTGCCTCCATGTTTTAAGAAACTGTTCTTAACAGTTTAGGCTCTTTTGTATTAAATGTTTGTCAACACTATAGATACTGGGAAAAAAATTTTCTTTGAGAAATGTTTTTGATATGCTCAATATGAGAACAGAGAAATATTCATGATATGAATTTATCTGTGCACTTCTAGAAAGTAACCTTTTTAGTGATTTAGACAGTATCATCTGTTACTCTTTCAGTGAAAGTTTTCTCTCCACCTTTATTTTCAGCTCCAGTGTGCTGCTCTGCTCGTTACAATTTAGCAGTTTTGGCCTTTTTAGGTTTTTTCGTCCTATATGCATTACGGGTGAATCTAAGTGTGGCATTAGTGGATATGGTAGATTCAAATACAACTTTAACGAATAATAGAACTTCCAAAGAGTGTGCAGAGCATTCTACTTCCACAAAAGTTCTTCGTAATCAAACGGTAAGTGCCAGTTTTTTAAGAAAACAACCTTTATCCTAAAATACTTCCAAATAAATATTAAAGGTCTTTCTTCATCCCGTAGAAACCACAAGACTTTGTTAATATATACTATGATTTATTTTCTTTTGTATTTTCCCAGGAACTGGTTGAATAGTAACTTGTAACTATAGCTATTATCATTATGCTTTAACACACCTTGCTCTGTTTGAAAAGTAGTTTTTCAGTTTCTTCTATAAACATATCATCCTTGAAGAGAATTTGGAAAAACCTGTTTGGTATATTAGAAAATTGGATTTTTTTATATGTTGCTAACTAGTTTTTATGGGACTATTACTTAATAACTATTTTATAAGGTTGCTGTGGTAGGAGAGCTTAGATAATCTCAACTGCAAGATGCAAAATATAGCAGACAATTTCTTAGAATATTCTTTTCCAAATGTATACATGCCTAATTTAAGATACAAATCATTTTGCCTGCATCATGTTAGAATGGAGTTGATAAGTATGTGTTCATCCTTTCTTCAGAATTAAGTTGTACATACTTTAAATATTTGGTTATCACATGGAGAGACAGTACAGGGAAAAAAGGTATCTCTTTTTGTAAGTCTGTTTTCATCCATTTTCAGTGTTCACAAAAGAGCCAGATAACACTTGGGTGAGTCTCCTTTGCCATTTACAAACAAGAACATTCAAGCAGGGAAGAGGATTTCTGCCCTAGCAAGCACACATACAAAACAGTGACTTCTCAAATATCTTTATATTTTACATGAATAATGTTGCTAAATAACGTATTGGGGCACATACTCCCCACCCCCACCCTTGACCCCCACAGTTACCTCACTCCAACCTATACGCTTCAGGGACAGTACTCCTGGATAGTTTATGAAGTCCTAGAATTCTACAGATAAGCTACATATTGGTACCCTAAAAGGGATAATTAGGGCTTTGCTGTTTCTTTTACCTTTGGCAAATGCTTTTATTAATCTGGCTACTTACCTTCATTTGCCTTTCATTGACAGTAAAAAAAAAAAAAATCCTGAAATGATTCTTGACACATTGGTTCAGTTATACAGCAACAGGTGATGAACATGTCAGATAGTATCATCAGTCACTAGATCTTTATTATTACCTTACTTTCTGCTCCTACTAATTAAAAGACATTTCCAACTAACACCAAATTTATGGCATGGTTTAAATTTTGGCTCTTTTTATTATGTACTGTATGCTTGTTTGAGTGCTTGGTCTGAAATGGGGAGATATTATCTATATGTGTACTAAGGCAACATTAAGTTAACATTTAGTGGGTGTCAAGTAATCTTTAAATGCCTTTTTATTTACTCTTACCAGATCGCAAATCCAGTAGTAATAGAGCTAGGTTTGAACCCAGGTCTGGCTCTAAATAACCAGTAACCTGTTTAGTAGCTTTCTAAATTAAGCCTGTGGCTCCTTTTTAAGCCTTCTTGGTCATCATTACCTAGCTTCTACAGCTAATCCTATAATCTAGTTTCATAAAATAGCAATCCTTCCTAAAGTCAATGACTTTTCAATTATTTTTCATTTATTTCCACAAATTGTCTGTCTGTATTACGGTGACTCACTCAGCCAGTAGAAAATTTGCATGTTTCTCAATCTAAAACAGTAGTTCAAAATGACATTTTTATGTATTTACATGCCAATAAGAAAAATGAACTGTTAGTCAGATCTTAAAGTTTTTTTCTTTCCTTTCTACTCTTTATAGGGTAAAAGGTACCAATGGGATGCAGAAACTCAAGGATGGATTCTTGGTTCGTTTTTTTATGGCTACATCATCACTCAGATTCCTGGAGGATATCTTGCCAGCAAAGTAGGGGGAAAACTGCTGCTAGGATTTGGGATCCTTAGCACCTCTGTCTTCACCCTATTCACTCCCATTGCTGCAGATTTCGGATTTGGAGCTCTTATTGCACTCAGAGCACTAGAAGGACTAGGCGAGGTAAAATTTTTTTCTCTTGTTTTTCTTCTTAGCCTCTCTCTCTCTTGTCTCCATAAAGATAACATTCTTTGGTATGAATGTGAACCAAACACTGACATTGGAAGATCATAGGATTTTTATTTTAATTGAAAAATAATTAACTAGAAAATAACCTGTGTAGATTTTGTTTGTGGTCACTCAGGTTTTGAGTGCGGATTCCGCAAAATTTAAATCTTTACTCAAAGACTAGAAAACATTTTCAGGGGACACTTCACAGTTCCCTGTCCTCTCTCCTACTTTACAAGATAAGAAAAGAGTAAGATAGGCAATCCTTACCTTTTGAACTTTTGCCATAATTTATCTCTGCTCTATCATTGGTTGCTGAGGTCTAAAACAATTTATACAGTAGATTGTCAAACTATCTTGTTTTGCTTTTTAAATGGTAAGAACAGATACTACAATTGATCTAAGTCAAAAGATGGAGAAGCTATTATTTTACTTTTAACTTTGTTATTTGTAGAACTTCCTCTTTATCATTTGTTCTTTTTTCTGACCTTCTAACAAAGGTCTTGTACTTAGAGACAAATAATTTATCATTTTACATTACTGTCTTTCTTTAGTACTATAATTCCTCTGGCCTTGTTCCTGTTTTTAGAGTTATTATTAATTTTTATCTTTTTTCTGTAAGATTTTTATCATTAAAAAATGTTAATTCCTTATCTTTTCCTTTTCACTCTTTTACATTTATTATATGTACCTCCATCTATAACTAATGATCTTTTTCCATTTTGAACTTTGAACTTCCACCCTTGAAACTGAGGCATTAGGTTTATTTTGCTCTCTCTTAATTATTTTTTTAACCCAAACAAGTGGCCTCTGGATGAGGTGTATAACATGAAGGTTATTTTTTTATTTTTATTTTTTTTTTATTAAATAATACATTTTATTTTTATATTTCCCCATACAACTGCACATGCCCCATTCTGACCGACCTATCCCTCCCCTCCGGCCCCACCCCCAAAAAGTGTCTCTGGTTCATAGTTTTTTGTTGATTTTGATTTTCACTTTCTTATAGTTATTCTTTTCCTGATCCCTTATTTAAGTTTTCTAGATTCCTGCTATGAGTGAGACCATCCGGTATTTTTCTTTTTCTTTTTGGCTTATTTCACTGAGCATGATCCCTTCCAGCGCCATCCATGTTGCTGCAATTGCATGTGTTATCTTTTTTGAATGCAGAGTAATATTCCATGGTATATATGTACCACATCTTCTTGATCCAGTCATCTATTTTTGGGCATTTGGGCTGTTTCCAAAGCTTAGCTATTATAAATAGTGCTGCTATAAACATAGGGGTGCAGGTGTTCTTTGGAATGGATGTTTCTGTGTCCTTTGGGTAAATACCTAGGAGTGGAATTGCTGGATCATATGGAAGCTCTATGTTTAGTAGGTCCAGAAATCTCCACACAGCTCTCCATAGTGGTTGGACCAGTTTGCATTCCCACCAACAGTGCAGGAGAGTTCCTTTTTCTCCACAACCTTGCCAACATTTGTTGTTGCTAGTTTTTTTAATATGTGCCATTCTCACTGGTGTAAGATGGTATCTCATGGTAGTTTTGATTTGCATTTCCCTGATTACAAGTGATGTTGAACATTTTTTCATATGCCTGTTGGCCATTTGCATTTCCTCTTCAGAGAAGTTTCTTTTTAGCTCTTCTGCCCATTTTTTGACTGGGTTATTTTCTTTGTTGTTGTTGAGTCTCATCAGCTCTTTGCAGATTTTTGTGATCAGTCCTTTATCATTAGTGTTGGGTGCAAAAATGTTCTCCCAGTTGGTGGGGTTTCTCTTTGTTTTTGTTATTATCTCTTTTGCTGTGCAGAAGCTCTTTAATTTGATGTAGTCCCAGCTGTTTATCTTTGCCTTCACTATCACTGCTTTGGGTGATGTGTCTGTAAAGATGTCTTTGATATGCAAATCACGTAGTGTTTCACCTATATTTCCTTCTATGTATTTTATGGTTTCAGGTCTTATGTCTAGTTCTTTAATCCATTTTGAGTTGATTTTTGTGTATGGTGTGAGGTAGTGGTCAAGCTTCATTCTTTTGCATGTAGCAACCCAGTTTTCCCAGCACCATTTATTGAACAAACTTTCTTTGCTCCAATGCATAGTCTTTGCTCCTTTGTCAAAGATTAGTTGACCATAAATATGTGGGTTTATTTCTGGATTTTCTATTCGATTCCATTGGTCTGTGTGTCTGTTCTTGTTCCAATACCATGCAGTTTTGATGATTATGGCTTTGTAGTATAGTTTGAAGTCTGGGAGTGTGATGCCTCCATTTCCTTCTTTTTTTTTCAGGAGAGCTTTGGCTATTCAGGGTTTTTGGTGATTCCATATGAATTTCATCAATAATTGTTCTATTTCTTTGAAGAATGACATTGAAATTTTGATTGGAATAGCATTGAATCGGTATATTGCTTTTGGTAGGATGGCCATTTTAATGTTTATTCTTCCAATCCATGAGCAGGGGATGTCTTTCCATATTTTTGTGTCTTCTTCTTTTTCTTTTAACAGTGTTTTAATAATTTCTTTTGTATAGGTCCTTTACCTCTTTTGTTAGATTTATTCCCAAATATTTGATTTTTTTGTTCGATAATAAAAGGGATGTTTTTTTTTTTTTATTTCTTCTCTTCAGATTTATTGTTTGTGTATAGGAAGGCTACTGACTTTTGCGTGTTGATTTTGTATCCTGCCACTTTACTGAATTGATTGATAAGTTGAATTAGTTTTTCTGTGGAGTTTTGGGGTTCTCTATGTATAATCATATCATCTGCAAATAGTGATAGTTTGACTTCTTCTTCCTATTTGGATTCCTTGGATGTCTTTCTCTTGTCTTATTGCTCTGGCTAGGACTTCCAGTATTATATTGAAAAGCAGTGGTGAGAGTGGACATCCTTGTCTTGTTCCAGATCTTAATGGAATTGCTTTCAGCTTTTCACTATTGAGGATGATACTGGCTGTTGGCTTGTCATAGATGGCCTTTATGATGTTGAAGTATGTTCCTTGTATCCCAAGAATTTCAAGGGCTTTTATCATGAATGGGTGTTGCACTTTGTCGAAAGCTTTCTCAGCATCTATTGATATATCATATGGTTTTTATATTTCTTTTGTTGATGTGTTGGATAACGTTGATTGATTTGATGTTAAACCATCCTTGTGTCCCTGGAATGAATCCTACTTGGTCGTGGTGAATTATCTTATGGATACATTGTTGGATTCTGATAGCTAAAATTTTATTGAGGATTTTTGCATCAGTGTTCATTAGGGAGATTGGCCTGTAGTTTTCCTTTTTTTTGTTGTCCTTATTCGGTTTTTGGTATTAGTAATGTTGGCTTCATAGAACGTGTTTGGTATTGTCCCTTCCTTCTCAATTTTTGGAAGAGTTTGTGAAGGATAGGCACTAATTCGTCTCTGAATCTTTGGTAGAATTCATTTGTAAATCCATCAGGCCCTGGGCTTTTGTTTTTGGGAAGGTTTTTGATTACCATTTCAATTTCGCTGCTTGTAATTGGTCTGTTTAGGTGTTCTATTTCTTCTTTATCTAGCTTTGGGTGATTGTAGAGTTGTAGGAATTTGTCCATCTCCTCTAGAATGTTGAACTTGTTTCCATATAACTGTTCATAGTAGTTACTGATTATTCTTTTGATTTCTGCTGTGTCCGTTGTGATTTCTCCTCTTTCATTTATGATCCTGTTTATTTGTGCTTTCTCCCTTTTTTCCTTTGTGAGCCTGGCTAGGGGTTTGTCTATTTATTGATTTTTTCAAAGAACCAGCTCTTGGTTTCATTGATCTTTGGATTGTTTTTAGTTTCAATTTCATTTATTTCTGCTTGGTTTTATTATTTCTTTTCTTCTACTGTTTTGGGGTTTTTTTTTGTTCTTTTTCTAGGTCTCTGAGCTTCGAGATTAGGTTCTTTGAGTTCTTTCTTGTTTTTGATGTGAGCTTCTATTGCTATATATTTTCCTCTTATTACTGCTTTTGCTGCATCCCATATATTTAGGATATTAGTGTCCTCCTTGTCATTCAATTCAGAGAATTTTTTAATTTCTTCTTTGATCTCCTCATTAGTCCAGTGGTCTTCCAGTAGTTTGGTTTTTAATCTCCATGAGGTAGAATAGTTCCTTGCCTTCTTTTTATGGTTTATTTCTAGTTTGATGCCTTAACATGAAGGTTATTTTGGTAAAAATGTTTCATGCTGTTGAAAAACAGTAGACTGGAATTTATAAAATAAAAGTTTAAATAATAATGTCACTGTATCTAGTAGTGAAACCCTAGGTAATTCCTAGTCTATAGACTTAAGTTTCATCATTTTAAAAATTGGAACTGAAATATCTGCTCCATCCTCAGTCATAGTTAAAATGTGAAATAATTGCTAGGATGGTTTAGAAATTGTGAAGTACTGTTTAAATTTAAGATTTTATCACTTATCTAAGCATTCTTATTTTGTCCTTTTCAAACCCTTTTTGACTACAAAATGAAAATTACCCCCCCATCACCAGATTCTTCTCCTTACTTAAGAAATATATACTTAATTATGTTATATTTTATTCTGATCTGGATATTGAGTCTTTTTGGTGAATATCTTCCCCTATTTTTTAGCTTCCTGCCTGTTTGTGCCACTAATTTAGCATCTTGGTATATTGATTATAATACTACTGCTATCCCAAGTTACCATTTTATTTCTAAATAGAATCTAAGTTGCGCTTATTTTTAGGTTCTTTTATATTTCTCAGTTCCTCCAATATGTATCAGATGTACATTATCTCATGTACATGTCTCATGATTTGTCTTAAGGCAGCCTCTTTCATCCCTAGCATCTAATTCATCATAAATATCCTACATTGTCCCTAGGATTTTATAATAAAGTTTCCCACATAATCTCTGTGAACATTTTAACTTTTACTTAACTTTTACTCTACAATTGACTCATCAGGTATTTCATGTAGGTTTTTCATGACATTGGTTCTTATCAATTTATATTGCTGCCTAAATAATTTTTGCCTTCCATTGGTTTTTCTTTCTTTGCATTTTGGAAAGAATCAGCAGAAAGTACAAAGAATTAAGCTTCTATTCTTCTGTCTATTAATAATAGTACTAGTACCCACTTATCCTTACAATAATCATGCAAGATTGGAAGTTTTATTTCTGTTTTTTCAGATTTTAAAAAATGTAGTTCAAGGAGGTTAGTTAATCTTTCTGAGACTACATAGTGAGTGGTAAAAGAGCTTTGAATCCACTTCTGTGAATTTACCAAACTGTTCCCTCCTGCTCTCCTGTGGTGTCTCCTTTTCTCCTGCTCTTCTACCTCTCTGTGGACCTCCTTTCCTCCATTTTTCCACTGTCCTAACATAATCAGTAATTAGCATTTACTAGGCTAGTTATCACCAGGGAAAAAAGACTATAAACAATATAACTGAATTTATCCTTTTTATAGCCAGTTTTCCTATTGTTCAAGTCAATTTAAACTCTCTTTAGTAATCTAAATTATTAGCTCAGTATTTTTTAAAGTTATATATTGATAACATTCTCATTTCTTTCAGGCCATTAATAACATGAATGAGTAAAATTAACCATGAGGGTGATCCGTTTGTCATCATTCAGTATATTCTTTCAAATTTATTGTAACCCTTACCTTGCAATCCTCAAAGCAGTTGACAGAATCCACAAATCTTTTTTTTTTAATTTACTTATTTATGCATACAAGAGCTGGGGTGTAGGCCAGAGATACGGGGAGGGGGGTGGTTAGAAGAATCACCAGAGACAGAGTGGGGAACAGAACAGGTAGACTGACTGAAATACACTGCTGAGGGAAGCAGTGGGTGAGACAGGAGAGGTGTACTGTGCCATGTGGGTCGCCTCCCAAGCTGGGGATTGAACTCGTGCTGCATTGGCTGCGGATTGCTTCATAGTGCTGATGCTTAACCCCTTGCGCCACCACGAAGGCCCAGAATCCACAAATCTTTGTTCAGATTTTGAAATTACTTTGTTATAAAGTATTTTTCATTGATACTGTAAAGACATTTCACTTTATAGAACCTGATTTGACTCTTATTCAGAAATTTCTCTTGCAATGAAATACTCAGATGAATTTAAAACACATTGGGTTTCAGCAGAAATATCTTTTCCCCCACCTTAGGGTGTTACATTTCCTGCCATGCATTCCATGTGGTCTTCTTGGGCTCCTCCTCTTGAAAGAAGCAAGCTTCTTAGTATTTCATATGCAGGTGAGATAACTATTCTTATAAAAATTTTTGCCACAATTTATGTGCCTATCATCTCGAGGAAAATGTGCCTACATAACACGAATCATACAATGTCAGATGCCTCTTTTAGGGAAAAATAAAGTTTTGGGATTATAACTTTGTTATTAATGTTTCTCTTTGGCTCCACATATAGCAGTCTGGCTTAATTGATTCATGTCATTTCTCCATCTGACAACATTGATTTCAAAACATGTTTTTTCTCAGATGTTCATATAGAGAATGCAATGTAGTTTTTTTCCTAAGGCCAATTGCTGCAAAGTTGAGCACTTTTGTTCTTAATTTGTGATTTCCAGTTTGACTGCTTGGTAAGCATATCACAACTTTTAACCCCTCCCTTTAAACATCTATTTTCCATCCATTTATTTACATCATTTTGATGTGGATGATAGAAAGCATGCACTTTACATTTGAATTCTAATTTTAACAGATCACACAAGAACGTCTAATCTTTCTTCTATTAGTGGAATGAAAATTGTTTGATCTGGCTGCCTTTAGATACCATGTTTAAGAAAGGCCTCTCTGTAGAGAGTTTTAGTGACAATCCAAAGGGTAAGAAGAAATCAGTCATGCAAAGAGCAGAAAAAAGAGCATTCCAGCCAATCAGAACAGCATTTGCTAGAACTCTCAGGCAGGAAATAATATAAGGGTTCAAAATAATGAAAAAAGTGTGGGTGGTCAGAACATAATAAATAATCAGAATAATGGCATAAGATGAGGTTAAAGAAATAGAAAAGAGTCAGATCATATCAGGTCTTTCAGGCCACAGGATGGAATATAGATTCCCCCCCACCCCAAAATACTACGGGGAGACTTGAGATGTTTTTAATCAAGACAGAGACATGATCCAATTTATAATGATTCATTGTAGCTATAGAGATTGACATAAGAAATTTGATATTAAGTTCAAGAACTGGCAGCCCTGTACCTATTGAATAAAGTCTAAATTCGAACCAGGGGATTCTTTACAATCTTTACTTCATTTTAGCTAGCCTTGTCCCTTCTACTCAGTGTCTGGTATGAAATAGATATACAGTAACTAGTCAACCCCTTTTCAGCCTTTTTCTTCTATTCCTTTTCTTTACCCAAATGAAATTTGTAGACCAATTGTCTCCTTTCCTACTCTCATTCCTTTGCTAATACTGTTACATCTGTCTCTATATCTTCTTTCTTACCTTGTTTATATGGTACCAAATCTTATCCATCTTTTTAAAGTAACAGTAGTGCCACTTAACATCTTTTCCTGACCTCTGGAAGTCAGAGGTAATATGTCCTATATTTGAACTTCCAGATTATTCTGTGACACTTAATGCTTTCTTTAAAAAAAATAAAAAAGATTTATTTTATTTATTTATGCATACAAGAGCTGGGGTGTAGGGCATAGGTATGAGAGGGTGAGAGGGTTCATCATAAACAAAGTAGGGAGCAGAACAGGCAGATCTATTGAAATACACTGCTGAGAAGAGCAGCGGGCCAGACAGGAGAGGTCTGCTGCACCATGTGGGTTCATCTCCCTGGCCGGGAATGGAACTCATGCTGCAGTAGCTGCCGATAAGTGCGGATAGCTGTAGATAGCTTCATAGTGCTGGGGCTTAACCCTTTGCACCACCAGGGAAGCCTAACACTTAATACTTTCTAACATGTAATAATTATTTGTTTATATTTATCTCCTAGATGATCTAAAAATTTGAGACTGGAAATAATGTCTGATTATTTCAGCTCCTACTACCTACTAAGATATCTTGTGTTTGATGATTAAAATGAATTTAATTATTTGTTTATCTGAAACAATTGTTTGTATATATTTTAGGTAAATTAGTTTATTAAAAGCTTCATTTTTATTTCATCAGGTATGCTATGTTTATTAGCTCTGAGACCATCTTTGAATCTCTCTTCAGACACCTAGATTTCTAATATATGTGGCATTTTACTAGCTCATAATTGGTTTTATATTGATTAATGCCTTCTAATCAATCAATAACCACATCATTGTAACTAATATAACTACATATTAATGCATACATTTTACATATTTTGGGGTTTCTAATAAATGATCCTTTAAGAGAATGGTTGATTTATATTTACATGTAACTAAAGCTCCTAAAGCTACTATCTTCTTTAAACAATAGATCTGTCCCCTCTTTATTCATTTTCCTCCAAAGTTTATAAATCTTTGTTGTTCTAGGAGCACAACTTGGAACAGTAATTTCTCTTCCTCTTTGTGGAATAATTTGCCTTTATATGGACTGGACTTATGTCTTCTACTTTTTTGGTAAGTTTATTCAAAAACTCAACCTAAATTATAATGAAACAAATCCAAAAGTGCAATAATAGTCTAATAATCAGTTAGAAAAAAATTCCAATTCAGTGAATTAATAATTTCCTAAACCACAAAGCTCTAAAAATACTTACTGAATACCTGTTTTTCAAGTGATAACATTAAAATGACCTAACCAAGTTATGACCTGATGTTATTCAGTTTTGGAATATTTCCCAACAGAAACTACTATTGAATCCAGAACTGAAATGCTATACTCACTGTCAAAAATTCCTATTAGATATTATAAAGATGTATATTTTAAAAATATCTCTTCTCATGCTAAATAAGTTGAATGCTCTCACTTGGTAGTTATAAATCATTTTTTATTTAGTCCCAGGGCCTTTCATTTCTCTATCTCATTTACAAGATGATACGTCAGAACCAAAAAAACAATAAACAAAAACAGATACCTGTGGAAATAATAGATTGTAGAAATTTATTTTTTAAAAGATTTGTCTGGTAGATCCTGATAGTCAAGATCATTTGGTTAAAAGCCGTTCTCTTCAAAATTTATAGGAAATAGGGACTGGAGGATATGAATGACGATGTTTAGGGTACAAATGTATAACAAAGAGTTTTAATATTATAATATAAGTATGTCCTATGATAAATTGAAAACAACAGCAACCACACTGCAAAATATGAATGTATCAAAGTTAACAGCTATACTCCCTAAATTTATGCAATGTTGCATGTCAAATTTATCCAATTTTTTAAAAAGAAAAAATATATAAGAAATAATACAGATATGGGCCTCCCCTGGTGGAGCAGGCAGTTGAGTGCTGCGCTGTGAAGCTGTCCACAGCCTGCAGCGCCAGTTCGATCCCGGCCAGCTGGCATGGGTCCCACATGGCGCAGTAGACCTCTCCTGTCACGCCCGCTGCTCCCCTCAACAGTGCGTTTCGTCAGTCTCCCTGTTCTATTCCCGGCTCTGTCTCTGGTGAATCCTCTTGCCCTCCCATTCATCTGGCCTGTACCCTGGTTCTTGTATAAAATAAATAAATAAATCTTTAAAAAAAAAAAAGAAATGATATAGACAACCAAAGGCACACTAGGAGGAGGGGTGGGGAAAGGAGTAGGATCAAAACAAGGGAGGGGTGGGAATTTTATGGGACTATAATCAAGATGAAAATGCATACATTGTGCAAAAATGAAAAATGATGTAAAAAAAGTATAACATTTAAAAAATAATATAAAAATAAAATGGAAATACAATTAAAAAAAGAAATAATACAGATAGCATTATCCCATTAAAGAATTTTGAGAATAACTTGAAACTAAAACTAAACTGAAACCAACTTTTTTACTGAATATTGGTTCATAACAGTATATAAGTTTCAGATGTATACCCTTTTATTTTTTTAACAAAGTATCCCCCAATTCTTGCAAAAACCCTTTTAAAAAAAAGATTTATTTATTTTTACAAGAACCACGGTACAGGCCAGATGTGTGGGAGCATGAGAGGATTCACCGAGACAGAGCAGGGAATAGAACAGGCAGACTGACGAAATACACTGCTGAGGGGAGCAGCAGGCAAGACAGGAGAGGTCTGCTGTGCCATGTGGGATTCTCCCCAGCCGGCCGGGATAGAACCCGTGCTGCAGAGGCTGCGGACAGCTTCACAGTGCGGTACTCAACCACCTACGCCACCAGGGAGGCCCCTGTATACCCTTTTAAATCAATATCTGTATTGCTACCTTATGTTCACCATCAGATTTCTAGTTTCTATCCATCATCATAAAATCAGCCCCTTTTACTTATCTACCCATCTTCCCTTCTGATAACCACTATTTTGTTCTAAAAGTTTGTTTTATTTAGTTCATTTGTTTTGTTTCTTTAGATACAACACATGAGTAAAATCATAGTGTTTGTCTTTCTCCACCTGACTTATTTCACTAAGCATAATACCCTTTATGTTCATCCATATTGTTGCCAAAAGCAGGATTCATCTTTTAATAACTTGGCAATACTAAAAGCAATTTTACATTGATTTTATAGTTACATAACTTTCTTTCCAGACATGTGAAAGTTGCTGTTGGTGCATTCTAATTTTATTTTAACTATTTTTTTAAGGTATCATTGGGATCATTTGGTTTATTTTATGGTTCTGGTTAGTTAGTGATACACCGGAAACTCACAAGACAATCTCTCAGTCTGAAAAGGAATATATTCTTTCATCATTAAGAAACCAGGTATGGACTATGGCTCATTTTAAATACAATTTCAGAATCTTTGCCTCAGAATTGATACCAATTTTTTAAATAGATATTTCTATCGCGTGTGTTCTAGGCAAAGTAGAGCAAATGAAATAAATGTAAGTATTGGTTTGTTTTGCCTAAGAAAATCCAATATTACCTAGATTAAATCTATTAAAAACTATATTTCCATTTTTAAGTCATTTTAAACTTTCTAGGTAATGATTATCAAGTGAGTCTTAAGTTTGTTCTTCTTAATTTGTAGAAAATGTATTGTAAGAGGAATTTTATAGCTACATTCTAAAATGTTGTTAGAAAACTAGTATGTTTTATCTATATTTTAATTTAAAGTGATTTAATTAGGACAACAGCACATTTATTATAATATATAATAATAAGCTGGATATATATCTGCTTGTGCCTTTGCAGTAAATCTTTAGGAAAAAAATATATCTTATTAAAGATAGATTTTTATCACCTAATTAAGCACAGTTACAAGTCAGAAATAAAAATGTGTCATAATTCAATATTCAAACCATGGAAATAAAATATTTGCATTTTAGGGGCAATAAAAAGTACATAAAAACATTGGTGAAAATTTAAATATATACAGTCTTTAACATCCTTACTTGTTTCATAGTCACTTTATTAGTTTAAGACTGTAAAATAGGGCCTCCCCTGGTGGCACGGCAGTTGAGCGCCGGGTTGCGAAGCTGCCCGCAGCCTCTGCAGTGCTGGTGCCATCCCGGGCCGCCAGCGAGGGACCCACATGGTGTGCAGACCTCTCCTGCCATGCCCGCTGCTCCCCTCAGCAGTGTATTTCGGTCCATCTGCCTGTTCTGTTCCCCGTTCTGGCTCTGGTGAATTCTCTCACCCTCCTGTGCTTCTGACTGTGCCCGGTGCTTGTATAAATAAATAAATAAATCTTTAAAAAAAAAAAAAAAAGACTGAAATATTTCATCTAAAGCTTCTTTCACTTTTTACATATAGTAAAACCAGGTAGTCATTAAAGCATTTATTCATTCTCACTTCTTTTTGAGTCTTTAAATTTTGGTACAGCATCTCTCTATAAGCTTCTGAACTTTAAGAAATATGACATCTCTTCATCTTTGCCAAAAGTTGGTAAAAACTTAAAAGAAATCAGCAATGTAATAAAGTTACTTTGAGATCTTAATTTTCTCCCTGATGATTATGATATGAATCACCCACTTTTCCCTCTAAGGTATAGATAAAAATAATTTGATACCTTATAAACAGTCCTGCTACATAAAACTTGGTATGTTTTGTCACATTTTCTTACAGTGATGGTAAATACCATGCCTCCTCCTATATAATACTTCGTTTTTATCATTATTTTTATGAACTTAGGAAACTTTTTTGTTTGTTTAACTTTTTAAACTTTAGGTTTTTAAAGATTTCTTTATCTTTATATGTGTCTAAATCTGCCCATTATCAAAACCTAAGGTTAGTTTGTTTTTCTGTATGCTTCAGAAAATGGAATATTCAGAAGCAAGAGAAGTTTGGAGGATTAGGTTTCCTAGAATCCCAAATTGCATTCTTAAACCAGGTGATGTAGTTGAACACATCCTAAGATACTGATGTGTTACATGAAACTTCACCTTTAAATTATGTCATCTACTGTACTGGATTTATTCTTTAAATATTTTTTACAAATTTACTATACTCTAGGTGTTGATGCCTTCTGACCAAAGACCTTCAGTAATATATCTATTGTTGAAGAAAGTTGGGTATTTTGGTTTGTTGAAATAAGAGAAAGTACACCATATAGAACCACGGAAACTCTGATAAGAGTTGAGAGAGAGCTTGTTTAGACTCCTGTTAAGACTTTAAAGAGGGTTTAAAGAATCAGTGTTTTACACTGAAATTGGTTCTGCGGAAAGTAGTAGCAATTCTATGATTATCTTCATTTTTATCTAGAAGAGTAGGCTAAAGCTATAATTGCTAGAAAAGCAGAGGTCACGCATATTAGCTGGGAGAGGAAGATGTTTGCTTCTTTTTGTGGTTTGTAGCATTCTTGGTCTTGTCTGTACTCAGACATGATTATGGAGTGGTCTTATTTTTCTCTCTTTTCATCATGCTTATAGAGTGACTTTGTTCAAGTTCAGTGGAAGAACACCATGGACTAGCTGTTAGAAACAGGCCAGTTCAGGTAACAACAGCCAGGGGCTGCTTTTTTCTTTCTCACTGGTAAGTCTGAACAGAGTTTTGAAAGGGAAATTTGAGTTAACCAGGCAAATTGGGGGAGTGAGAGATGTTCAGGCTTTCTAGGCCAAGAAAATGATGTAAGCAAAGGTACAGAAGAAATTGGTTATCTGCCAGGAAGTGCAGCAATTAGATATTGCTGACATGTGAAAAGAAAAGGCAGAGAGTGACAAGAGATATCGAGCCAGGCAGAGGTCAGATCCTGTAGGGCTCTGTGTGTCTCAATGAGGTGCTTAGTTTTTATTCTTTAGGCACTGAGGTGCCGTGAATTATTTGTAAGCGAAGTGACAGAATAAAGTTTTAATTTAGGCAACTCACACTGACAGTTGTGTGGAAGGAAGATAGGAAATAGGTAAGTAAAGTTTCCAATAGAGTGCTTTCTCAGTTATCAGTACTTTCTATTCAAATAACTTTGCTTTCCAAATGCTGACTACACAAATGATCTGAAAAATTAAAAGATATCCTTCCCAATGTATTTTCATTTATCAGCAGTGACATTTTAAAAGAATGTGATCTCTGATAAGAATGTTCATAACATTTTTACCAAAATGTAGGTATAGTAAAGCCATGGGGTGAGAGAGAGAGCATTGCTTGATTAACATGTCATTTGTGACAATATTGTTTAGAAACAGTAGCAAGAGACTGATTTCTAGGTCTAGAAAACTGGAAAAAGCTATTTTGTACTTTATTAAGGTCTTACTTTAAACCTCTGTTGCCCATTATGATAGTCATTAACCTGGTGTAACTATTAAATTTTAATTTAAGTTAATTTAAAATTCCACTCTTCACTCACACTAGCCATATTGCAAGGGCTTAATAGCTACATAAAGCTACCGGTTACCATATTGGGAATTACAGATATAGAACATTTCCATCATCATAGAAAGTTCTATTGAATAATGCTTCCATAAAACCTTGGGGACCTGATGGGGTAGTTCTATACTTCCAAAACACTAACAAGGATGTAAATCAGTGGCACTTCAATAAAAAAAAAAAAATTTAAAAAACAAACTTTGACATGATGCTTAAAGGAAAAAACCCTTAAGGTGTTGTTTGTTTTTTTTTTTTTTTTAATCTATTGGATACTTGGATAGTTTCTCCTAGTAATACTTTAAAACTTCATCTTTATCATAAATATTTTTATAAATGAAGACTACCACATGGAATATAACTTACAGTGTGGAAATACTGCAAATGGATCTCACAGTTCTAATTGGGAGAAAAGAAAACTAGTTTTGTAGCCAGCTTACAAATAAACACTAAGCTATAAAAAAAACAGATGCATATCATGTTATTCTTTCCAAACTTTTGTGGACCTTGTATTCTTACAATAAATTGCTTTTGAGAACCTGCCACATGTCAGGCTTATGTATTAGACAGAGGACTGGTCTTTGTTTTTTGTTTTTTTTTCCAAGCTCTATAGAGCTATAATTGACAGATAACATTATATAAGTTTAAGGTATGCCTTTTTATTGAAAAAATTAATCCATTTACTCACATTAAAGTAATTATTAAAAAGTAAGGACTTACTAAAACCATCTTATTAATTGTCTTCTGAAAGCTTTAAAGTACCTTCCTTTTTTCTTCCTCTCTGTCTCCCTTTGTGAACTAATGTTTTCCCATTGTGGTATACTTTGATTCCCTTCTCTTTTTGTGAAGTATCTGCTGTAGACTGTTGCTTTGTGTAAACATAAGGCTTTCATAAAACATGGATATAACTGTTATTTTATGCTGATAACAACTTCAATTGCATGCACTCTACTTTTCTATTCCCCCCTTTAATGTTTTTGATGTTACAGTTTACCTCTTTTTACATTATATATTCTTTCACAAAAATATTAGAGCTATTATCATTTTTAATACTTTCACCTTTTACTAGAGTAAGTGGTTAATACATTACCACACTGCAGTATTACAGTATTCTGAGTTGGACTGTATACTTACATTGCCAGTGTGTTGTTTGTTTTCATGTTACTGATTAGCATCCTTTCATTTCTACTTGAAGGGAAGGGCTAGTGGTGAACTCCCTTAGCTTTTGTTGTCCTTAATTTATGAAGAACAAGTTTGCCAGATAAAGTATTCCTAGTTGACAAGAATCCTTAAACATTTCCATTCAAATTACTTTACTATCAAATGTTGACTGCACAAATGATCTGAACAATTAAAAAACATCCTGCCTGATGTATTTTCATTTATCAGCAGTGGCATTTTAGAAGAATGTGAGCTCTGATCGAACTTTCATAATGTTTATGGATAGATCTCTTCTCTGGAGAGTTTTCCTCTTAGCTTGTTGAGCATAGCAGTAGGCTTCATTTGCAGTGTTCTCCACAAACAGTTCTACAATTTGTGCTGGAATGAATATGGCTCCCTGTTCCTCCAGCATCACATGAGGGTCTGCCTTCACTGAGACTTAGAGACAGCCTCAAGAAAACCCTGGGCATACTCCCTCATCAGGACTTGGGGTTGCAGGGCCATTGCCTCCTCACTTTGCTCCTCCTCCTCCCTAGGAGTCCCACTTCCAGTCACTGCCATCCAGGCCCCTAGTGTGCCCTGCTCGTCCTATGTGCTCATATGTCCTGGAGACCACCACTATCATTGTTTCTCTAATGAGCTTTCAGCCCACTTCTCCTTCTCTTCTTCAGGGATTCCAATAATTCCCAGATTTCTTCTTTTGATAGGATCCTGTAGTTCACTTACACTTTTCTTCACCCTTTTTTATTATTCTTTCTTTTTTCTCCTCTGAGTATATATGAAGGGTCTCCTTAGGCTCCCAGACCACATCTAAAAGAGAGACTGAGGTCAATTTGCTGTCTACTTCAGGATTCACAACTGGGAGCAATATCTTTATGCCCAGTGTACTGGTGGGCAAGACTCCTTTCAGGCCCCTTGGCATTAGGCATTAGGATCCCACAACCCCCACAAAGACACTTTGTGCATGGATACCAAATTGTTGTTGGGGAAGAGGGCAAGTATGAATGTACTACATGTTATTTGAGAATCTTGCTGATTTCACTCTCCACATACAGTTGGAGGGTATGTGGTATGTGGTATTTGGTAGGGTGATTCTCCAAAAACTTCAGATTATCAAAAATGTAATTAATATTTACAAGTTCTAAAAATATACCAGTATGGCTAAAATTCCTTCATTTTTGCTCACTTGTACAAAAACTATAAACCTAAGTACTGGAGGAAAACTGCAAAAGCTTTTATGAGAGCAATAAATACTTTAAAAACATAAGTATAGGGGCCTCCCTGGTGGCTCAGGGGTTAAAGTCTCAATGCTATCAAGCTATCGCCAGCCACTGGGGCATGAGTTCAATCCCTGGCCAGGTAACTAAGCCACATGGCTCAGCAGACCTCTCCTGTCTGCTGTCTACTCCCCTCAGTAGCGTAGTTCATAGATCTGCCTGTTCTGCTCCCCACTCTGTCTCTGGTGAATCTTCTTTCCACCCCTCCTTCACATTTCTGGCCTATACCCCAGTTCTTGTATGCATAAATAAATAAAAATAAATTTTAGAAAAATTAAATATAAATATATATAGCAGGAATCTTAAAATTATTATGTATTTAACATTAAAGTTTTGATTTCCAGAAGAGAGGACTTCATTATTGAGATTATGTTTTATTTTCAGAAGATCAGGTACATTGAAACTCATACCTTTCGGGCCTCCCCGGTGGCGCAGCGGTTGAACGCTGGGTTGCGAAGCTGCCCGCAGCCTCTGCGGCGCCGGTTCGATCCCCGGCTGCTCCCCGGCTACCAGAGGAGGGTCCCACATGGTGCGCAGACCTCTCCTGCTGCCCGCTGCTCCTCAGCAGTGTACTTCGGTCCTTCTGCCTGCTCTGCTCCCCGCTCTGGCTCTGGTGAATTCTCTCACCTTCCCACGCTTCTGACTGTACCCAGTGCTTGTATAAACAAGAAATAAATAAATCTTAAAAAAAAAAAAAAAAAGAAACTCATACCTTTCAACACAGAAGTGTGATTTCACTTTCCCTGTAGCTATATGAAAAGTGCTGTGTTCCAAATTCCTTCAAACTAGAATCTCTAGACTAGAATCTCTTTTCCTTCCTCTCTGCTCAGAGATTTTCAAGTAAAGGAGTGTAGTGGGAGACTTTAATCTCTGGAGCAACACTTTGAATCACCTGGGGGGTCTTTTAAAAATATTGCCACCTACTTCCCACTCATCCCCAACCCAATGTAATTGATCTAAGGTATGAACTGACCTCAGATTTAGGTGTTTTTTTTTTTTTTTGCTTATTTTAATCTTGCATTGTGAACCCTACACTCAGAGTTTGACTTTTTTATTCAGTAGGTCAGAAAGTCAGGTAGAGTACCTAATTCAGGTACATCTAATTTTGATGTTTCAAAGCTGATTCTGAAATATAGCTAGAATTGAGAATCACTAGTATAAAAGAGCAAATAGTCTCTCTCCTTCTCTTCCTCCTAGCCCTAATATCTTCGACACATAGTGGAGAGCAATAGCATATCTATCAAGTCAAAAAAAAAAACTCCCTAGGATAAAGGCCATAAGAAGGTTAATACTGGTCCTTCTTTTGAAAATAGCAGTGAACCATGAAGGCAGAAACCTAGATTTCTCTAGCTTTTGAGAAAGAAACTCTAGAACCTTAGTATGTAGAAAGGGTATTAATCTGATGCCCCAGAGCACTGGTCTCCAGGCTTTCTTGATCATGTGTCAATAATAAGGTTAACAATCTGACAATCTGAATATATGTGTTTTTACTGATAAGTAAACTACACATACTCCTGTACTTATGTATGTTTTAAAACATGTAAAAACAGAACTTGATTATGGTGAATAAGATGAACTAAACAGCATATACATAACTCTTAATAAGAATAACCTTTTTAATCACTTAAAAGTTATTAGTAATAATGTTGTCTAATGGGAGCGGTGCATTTGAATATGTTGTATTTGGCGAACCCGCCATTATTTTGCTTGGTAAGACAGTGGATAAAGGACTTATATGAGGAAAACTATGAATACCACTGTTTTCTTAGTGTTCACTTCTACATAATTACTAGAATTCTCTTCTATGAACTCTCTCTATAAGAATCTTTTGAAGATCCTGTTGATTTTGTGAGACTTGTTTTAAATAAAAATGGCTAATAAAATCCTTACATCCACTTAAAAGGCAGGTATAAACAGTAGTATGCAGTAATACACTATAACTAAATCAACAAGTGAGGATGTCATTAACATCCCCTTTGAATTGGAGAGATGTATTTTGCTGTTTAATATTTCAAAAGAGGGCCTCCCCAGTGGCGCAGCGGTTGAGCGCTGGGTTGCGAAGCTGCCCGAAGCCTCTGCAGCACCGGTTCGATCCCCGGCTGCTCCCCGGCCACCGGAGGAGGGTCCCACATGGTGCGCAGACCTCTCCTGCCGCCCACTGCTCCCCTCAGCAGTGTACTTCGGTCCTTCTGCCTGCTCTGCTCCCCGCTCTGGCTCTGGTGAATTCTCTCGCCCTCCCACGCTTCTGACTGTACCCAGTGCTTGTATGTATGTATCAATCAATCAATAAATAAATCTTTAAAAAAAAAAATATTTCAAAAGAGTTTGAGAATCTGAAATTTACTAATCATGGCTAAAAATGTGTTCTAGACTGAATTTTAGCCAATAAGGTATAGATCAAAACATACATAAACATAGCTATAGCTTATCCTAACTGTATCTGTTTTTGTTTTGTTTTGTTTCAGCTTTCTTCACAGAAGTCAGTGCCATGGGTACCCATACTAAAATCACTACCACTTTGGGCTATTGTAGTTGCACACTTTTCTTATAACTGGACTTTTTATACTTTATTGACATTATTGCCTACATATATGAAGGAAATTTTAAGGTTCAATGTTCAAGAGGTAAGAAAATATTACAGTCAGTCTGCCTGTTCCCCTCTGTCCCTGGTGAACCGTCTTACCCTCCATACCTCTGGCCTACACACTAGTTCCTCTAAGCAAAAATAAAATAAAATAAAGTTTATTATGAAATTATAATCTTTCATTATTCAAAAAATTTAAAGTTCTTGATCCTTTGTTATAAGTTTTCTTTTTCATATAAGTTTAATTTCATCAGTTACCCTTACCTTTTTTGGTCCTAGTTTTTCAGTTCTAGTGCCTTGTTTCTTACAATTCAATGAGTGTGGTGGATCATCCATTATCCTATTTTATATACTAATATTTTTAATCAATTTTTTAAATAAATGAATACAAGGAGGCATATCCTTAAACAAAACTAAACAACTGAAAAAGATGTCCATGGAATGTGTAAATGTCAACAGTTTTAGTGGTTTTAGGTTTTTGGAGGAGATTTTAACATGGGAACTTTAATGTAATTCTGACAAATTATCAGTCATCCTGCTAGGCAACAAGACCAGGATCAAAAAATTCCATTCTTTATTTGCTAGAGTTTATTCATGTGTTAAGATTTTGCCACAAAGAACAATAGATGTGATCATACTAAACAGAAGTCCAAATGGGATGAAATTTATATAGGAAATTACTTAACATCAGAAAGAAACAAAAAATTCTTCAGCTATAAAATTATAATAGGAGTAGAAGTATATGATATCTGATTATAGAATACTACAAACGATGCTGAAAAAAAGTAAATCTTAAACTCAAAATTAAAACATTAGCAAATATTCCTGGTCTAGATCATTAATGATGCTTAAATGGAATTATCACCGGATTAAAATACCACTGATAAAATATCTCTTTTTTATATGTCTGTATAACACTGACAGTGTACCCCTCTATCTCAGACTATAAAAACAATTGTTTTTATTAGAAGTAGTCTATTTAGTCTTCTCAGGTTTGTGCAGAGGAAAAATGAATAGAAGAAAGAACTTTTTCTTTTTTCTCCACCTGAGGATTATGTGCTTTTCACAAGATTCAAAAAAAGCTGATGGCCAAATCATTCCCCACAATGTAATTAACGTATTTCCACAATAAATTCTGTTTCATATTTCCTGGTATTTTCATTTTGTTTAGGTAGTAACTTAAAGGAGAAAAAGAGTGAAAAATAGAGTTCCCTCTGTGGTCTCTGCCCCTGTGCTCAGCTCAGAGCTTCTGCTTGTACATCAGGCACCTGTCTTAGGTGGTGTTCACTTTAGAATAATTCATTAAGCTGTATATTTGATTTATGTTTTTCTCTGTATCTATATTGTATAATAAAAAGAATTTTAAAATAAATAAGTGAAAATTGAAAACAAAAGCTGTTCAGCAGAGAGAGTTCATAGGCTAATAGGAAGGCTTATCTTTCACTGCAGTGATAGCCCAAGTCCCAAAATAACATTCAACATTAGCTTCACCAGACTGAACTATGGGGACGTTTGGTTCCCTCTGAAACAGGCTTTCAGGAACTTCATTGACCTGAATCCTATAATCCTTCTAAAAATGAGCTTACTCTATATACAAATTAACATATATCACTATGTGTTTCCTTTGTTTTCAAGTGGTATCGGATGTGTGTGTGTGTATGTTATTTTTACTTTCTTCCCACCACAAATAATCCAGTACCTTCTTATTCTTTCCAGAATGGGTTGTTATCTGCACTACCTTATTTCGGTTGTTGGGTGTGTATGATCCTATCTGGTCAAGTTGCTGACACTTTAAGGGGAAAGTGGAATTTTTCAACTATAAGTGTTCGAAGAATTTTTAGTCTTATAGGTAAGTGAGATAAATCAGATTTTGTTATGGTTTACAATTATTTACTGTGTTTACCATGCAAAGCAAAATGAAAATGATAGTGTTAGTCATTTATTTTGTTCACATACCGAAACAGTATGATTTATGAGTGCACTTCTGTGCCAGATGGTTCTTTTTTGAATCTTGCATTTCAAGATCGAGACTTACATAATAGCCTATTGTCACCACTACAGACTTACTAAAAATGACTGACTGCAGATTTTATCAATCACTGTTTTCAGTTCTAACTTTACATTAAAAATAAGTGAATACATTTCTAAGTGAATACATTTTAAAATTCAGTCAGAAAATTTTGACTAACCTCATACCAAATGAGGAGCTATAAATCAAAGGAACCACAAATAATCATGTGTTTCAGAGTTGCTTTCAGAAAGGCAAATTTAAAACTATCTAGGACAATTGCTTGTTTTTTTTTGTTTTGTTTTGTTTTGTTTTTTTGAAGGATCTCAAGTAAGTAGAGACCCTGGAAGTCACCAGTGGCTATATCTCAGTCATTGCATTTCAAAAGAACCCTATTCAGATAATTCTCAGTTATCTTCTAAACACCTTCCACTATAAGGTGCTGTCCTGTTCCACTGCTTACTTACTTCAACTCTCAAGAAATTGTTCAATGTGTGTAAGTGATATAGATTCCTTTAGGTTCAATCTGATTTTTCCTTTTTTGACTGCTCTGTCTAGAATGTCTAGCAACTAGCCATGTGTGGCTATTAAATTTAATTGAAATTAAAATATAAGTTCCTCAGTGTCAGTATATACAAATAAAACATTTCCATCACTGCTGAGTGTTACTGGATAGTACTGCTGTAGACACACAGCAAAAATAGCAGCCTCTCATTAACTCCCTTCATGTTGTTTATATTTTATCCTTAACTACCTATAACACACTGTAATATTGTTAACAATGATTAAAGCCTAAAGGAGTGCTTTCCTAACTTTAACCAACAGAGTTTACTATTTATCTTTCTAAGTGATATGAATTTTAAATCATGTTCTGTTTCAACTATTGCTTCTCTCTAGAACCATATTTTTCAGTCTTTTCTTTCTCTTTTCGCTGATATTATAAAACTTTATCTTAGTCCTGATCACATGAAGATTTAATAACAATGTATAATAAAGTTTTTCTCTTTTATATTAGTTTCACATGCCTATTTTTTTCTAGTTTTTTCCCTCCCGCAAAACTATGTATATAATTTAGAGTCCTCTAGGCAGTTATAACATTTATACTGTAGGTGGCAGTAACATCAAATGTCAGATTTATACTAATGTACAGCAAGCAAATACTAATGCTAGATGCCCATTTTTCTTTTCATAATTTTTAAACTCCAGGAATGATTGGACCTGCAGTATTCCTGGTAGCTGCTGGATATATAGGTTGTAATTATTCTTTGGCTGTTGTATTCCTAACCATATCAACAACACTGGGAGGCTTTTGCTCTTCTGGATTTAGCATTAACCATCTGGATATTGCTCCTTCGTAAGTACTAACATAAATATTTACTGTGATTGACTTTTTTTAATTGTAAAATATTCATAACGTAAAGTTTACCATTTTAAGCATTTTAAGCGTACAGTTTTGTGATTAAATACATTCACATTCTTGTGCAAACATTAACCACAGTCTATTTGTAGAAACTTTTCATCTTCCCCACCTGAAATTTTTTATTCATTAAACACTAACTCCCTATTTCCCCCAGTCCCTGGCAACCAAAATTCTACTTTCTGCCTTATGAATTTGACTGCTCTAAATTCTTTAATAAGATTTGACTTTATACAATATAGCATGAAGTTATTTTAAAATTTAAACTTTTAATTATCATCACCTCTGTCCACAGTATTCCCATAAAATTAGTGCATATAACACATTGTAATTTGTGTCAGTCTACCGCTAGAATAGGAACTCTGGGAAGGCAGAGACTGTCATCCTCAGGGCCTACCATGATGCTTGCACATAATAGGCATTTAGTTAGATGGATGAATGCCCAACACCAATGTGCAAATATATTTGTCTAGCATTTGATAGTTTGAAAATTACTTCCCCAAATAGAATCTGTTTTTATCCTTAAAACATTCCTATGAAATGGGTACTCTTGACCTATTTTATGGCTGAGGAAACTGATAAAGTCAAATGATATCCGTTAAACCACATAGCTTGTAAATGATAGAACCAAAACTTGAACCTGAAATTCTTTCTACAGTTCCCTTTCTGGAAATGTTCTAGAATTCTTTTGTACCAGTTATCAGACTAGAGGAGGGAACTGTGTGAATATTTTGACCCAGAAAATTTTATGTACTTAATTTTTTTAAATAATGGTTATGAATTTCTTTTTGGAGAAAAGAGGTGGTCTCCTATCATCTTTCTTTTACTTCAAATCCTTCACATCCTGGCAAGTGTCCCACTCTGTTCTCTTAAACTGGCAATGAATACAAATTGGGTAAACAAATAGAAATCGGATCTATTGTCAAAAGACGATGAAAGTGGATGCTAGAAAAGGAAAGAAAATCCTTAGTATCTATCTTATAAAATTATGAGAATTAATTAGAACCATATACACACAGAATACTTACTTCATAATATAAAAATGTGCTTGTACATAATACAGTAAACTTTATTATTTCCTATGTCATAATCAAGGTCACAAGTCAGTCCAAGTAAAGTGTTAAAAGGATAATCAGTGAGCTTTTAGAGAAGAAAATATTCATCACTAAGCACCCACCATTGAATCACTGAGAGGCAAAATAGCAAATCTGTCTAATTTCTTGCCATATTTTAGTTTCATAGAGAAAACACTGGATGTGTGGCATATCAGGATTTCAACAAGATTTCCCATGAGGCTCTTCAGGAGAAAGACACATTGGATGTGCAACTAGGTAGCTTTGTCATTACTAAATTTCAGTGTCATAGCATGCTGAGTAATAGATAGAGTCATTTAATAACACTGTGCAAGGCACTGTACCAAATGTTTAAGACACAAACATGAAAGTAATATGTTCCCTGCTTGCATGTGTGTAAGCTTATGCTGACTTGGAGGATGATAAGGTCATTTCCTGAACCATATACTCTAACCCAGACATTTTGTAAGTCTTACAAATTAGAAAAGACATTTATCTAGGTATGGTATAAAGCAAAACAGTAACATAAATAATGGCATAAATGCTTGTAGCTATTAGGAGAATGGTGATATAAACTGCTGTACTTGCTTTTAACTGACTGAGGTGCAAGATTTATGGCTGAGATCAACATACATGTATATGAACACCATGTGTAATTTTTAAAATTATGTAACTGTACAAATGTAAGGTAATAACATCAAAATTATTTCTGTCCTTTATATTTTGACTCAGTCCTTTAGATGAGCTTTGAGTTTTCATTTTCCCCCTAGAATTTCTTGGTTCAAAACATACTATTGATCGTTATTTCTCCCTCCCTCTGGCTTGGTTAACTGGATGGGTTACATATCTTATGACTATGTTTTGCTTAGTTGCTTTTCATCATTGATAACAATGAAGTGCCCATTCAGTGGATAACACTCTGCTAGTTAGAACAAGAACACTCGAGAACCATAGAACTTTAAGCTTTAAGCATTTGGGATTGTGGTGAAAAATTAATCATGAGAAAATTGATCTTTCCTACAGATTAAATTCAAAGATAATATATTTTCAAAGACATGGTGTTATAGATTATGAAAGTATACTGCTAAGTACTGATTTGGAATCAGTTTGGATAACATTTTATATTCTTTCTTCATCTATGAAATGAAGCTAAGAATCCCTACCTGATAGGGTCAATTTTACCATTAAAATGAGATAATACATATAAAATACTTAGTATTGTGCCTGATAGAAGGTTTTTCAATAAAACAGCTTTCCTTTTAATGTATAAATATATGTGTGGCATTTTCTAAACTTTTCTTCTGTAGACTGAAATAGAGATTTTGTTGTCCAGAGTCAAGGGAATTGGCAGGTTTTTAACTATTACTCGCACAGAATTCTAGTACTTCAATAGTATAGAATACAGAGTGATTCCATACAATATGTTTTCCAAGCAGTCATCAATCTTTCAAGGCCCTTCCTGGCCAAGTGTAATATAAATACTTGAATGAGATCTTGGTGCTGACATTTAGAATGCCATAGCATTCATCTGCACTTAATATCTGTCACTGAAAAGGCCTGGCAGCATTGCAGTCAGTTTCTTCTACTGCCAAGGTGTTACAATCTAAAAAAAAAAAAAAAAAAAAAGACAGGTTAGGCCAAGCTTGGTTAATTTGAGTTATGCTCCATATCAGGCATAAGCCAGAAAGAGCCATGTCACATGGTTTTGTTATTGTATCCTGTATGCTTGAGTTTTGAACATAAAAATATGTTTATAGATCACTGAATTAAGTTCAGCACAACTTTTATTCAGGTCCTATTTTCATCAACTCAGGCAGCCATACAAAATACCATAAACTGGGTAGCTTAAAATCTAGAAATTTATTTTCTCACAGTTCTGGAGTTTGGAAATCCAAGGGCAGGGGAGCAGCATAGTCAAGTTCACCTTTCCTTGATAAGTGCTCACAGAAACAGAGAGCATTCTCGCTCTTCCTCTTGGCTACCAGTGCTATTGGGCTAGGGTCTCACTCATATGACCTCATTTAATCATAATTTCCTCCTATAATTGCTGTCTTCACATATAGTCACATCAGGACTTAGGGCTTCACCATATAAATTTTGGGAGGATGCAATTCAGTATCCTAAGTGGGGAGAATTTCAGATCAGTAGTCTGCAACCAAGGTTTTGAGATAATAATAATAATAATGTGGGATATTAATATCCCACAGTAAGACTATGTAGACTACTAAAACATCAAGTTTCTTTAATTTTGATCAGAATTTTAAAAATTAAAAATTGTACTTTGTATATGCCTATGTGGTTTTTATGAAAAGCAATAAAATGTCATTTACTTGGTTAGCTAACTTTTAACACCTTTAGGTTTTTTTGTTAAAAATATCAAACCTAATAGTGAATCCTCTAGGATCTAGAATCAAGATACTACCAGTGTACAGGAAATGCAGAGGACATAAAATTATGTTAAGTGATACCTCAGGGATGCAATCTACAAAATCCCTAATGTAGGAATAGCTACAGGACAAATATCCCAGTTTCTTCAATTAGAAAGAGAGAGGACAATAAAAAAGGAACTAGCTATTGATAGCACAAAACTTGGAATGATGTTCAGCAACTCTAGCACATAGTCCAAAAGGTTATGCTCTGTATGAGTCCATTTATAGGAAATTTCTTTGGAGCTGATACCCAAGAATGGTGTTAATCTCCATGCGACAAAACTCTGGCAATCAGTGCAGCCAGGGCCCCATGGGTCCAGGCACAGGGCCTGGAAAAGCTGCCAATTAGGTGCCACTTCCCTGGCCAGCATGTATTGAATGAACATATATGTTATGCTGGGCACCAGAAATGATCGGAGGGAATAAAATGTGATTTTGCAATGAGACTATTAAATCAGAATTAGCAATTAGAAAACTCCTAAAAACCCATAATATTAGCTTTAAGGACACTAAAGACTATGAGAAGACAGAGTTCAATATAAGCTGAACCACACAGAGAAACCTTCATACAAGATTTGTCAAAACAAGTGGTTTGGTTGGAATGAGTGTGGATTTCAGAGTGTCTAGTATAAATAAAGGTAAGTAGCAGGAACAAGCATGGGCGAAGTGAGCAGCTGGAATGACAGCAATCTGTATCTGAAGTTATTGTGCAAGCCGAGGAAATAGCTGACCAACTCCAGGCCATTGCAAATCAGGCAGATTACAGTGTTCTTAAGCATTGAATCATCCTTGTAGGTTTTTGAGTAGGAGAAGAGTGACCTGACAGTATTATGAAAATACAAATTAAAGTTTATACAGTCTGAGAGGCAGTTCAACCATCTATAAAATGTCCTTTAAAAATTTACATCAGTAGATATTTGAAAATTATTGGATACTAGTGACAGACAGAGTTGTGTGTACTTTGTGAAAGTCCATCAAACCGTATATAGTATGTATGTTTCCATGTGTGTGTTAACACAAAAAAATTTTTTAATGCTTGCTTTGGCAGCATATATACCAAAAATTGTAAAAATAGAGAGAAGATTTGAGTGACCCCTGCACAAGGATGGCACACAAATTCACAAAACATTCCATACTAAAAAAAGAAAAAAAATCACATAATTGGCAGGATGTGGAGAGCTCAGCAGGGACCACCAGATGTGTTACATGTATACATCTATGAACACATGAATAATAAGAGAAATAATAAATCTGTCACTAACTTGCCCAAGGTGATGCAAATGGTTATTGGTGGAGCTTGGTCAGGAATTTTTAGGTGACCTGATTACCAGTCCAAAATGACTGATATATAGAAAATGATAAGGATTTCATTCTTTAAGATAGCACCTACTGAAGGTCCTGGGTATGGTGGCCTTCCTTAGTCTACCTACCTTCCTACGTATTGGAGAAATCAACAGATCATTAGCATTTCCCAAATACAGGCTGGAAGTCTTTTATTGAAGATTTGCATCTAGGGCCTCCCAGGTGGCACAGCGGTTGAGCGCTGGGCTGCGAAGCTGCCCGCGTCCCCTGCAGCGCCAGTTCTATCCCTGGCTGGCCGACGAGGGTCCCACATGGCGTGCAGACCTCTCCTGCCGCTCCTGCTGCTCCCCTCAGCAGTGTATTTCGTTAGCCTGCCAGTTCTGCTCCCCGCTCTGGCTCTGGTGAATTCTCTCACCCTCCTGCGCTTCTGACTGTACCCAGTGCTTGTATAAATAAATAAATAAATCTTTTTTTTTTTTTAAATAAATAAATAAATAAATAAAAAGATTTGCATCTAGGCATAGATAAGAATATCTTACTGCCCTCACATTTACCCTTCACATAGATGAGAACTTTTCTGAACTAATTAAAAATGCATTTTTTGGTCATATATATACGTATAAATACAAACACATTGTAGAGTCAACTTGCCTATTTCTGAGATAGTGTGCAAGGACTGAGCTACAAGGAAACATGTAATACATGGGACAAGTAAATTGTGATGTTGTTTGTTCAATATGATCTCACTTCTGTAATAATATATTAGAAATATACAGAAAAATAGGATATTTACAAAATGTTGTTTACCTCTGTGGGAGTATTATAGTATTTCTTTTTTTGGATTTTCAACAATAAAATAAATGTAATCAGGAAGTAAATTGTTTTTTAGCTTAAAAATATTTTAAACAAGACAATCTAACTTCTTGTCTAGATAGTGACATGCATAAATCATATCTCAGCACTTTTCTGTATCACTATAAAAGGAAACATTTCAGTGGTCATTTTCCTCTATATAATGGCAATTAACTATTGAAATGCAAGTTTTCCAGCAGTTAATCATTCAGTCCAATTTTTAGAAGACATTTCATTTAGACATAAAATTTCGGAAGAATACAGGCTGAGAGTGCTGTAACTATCTATCAAAAGAAGCTACATAGGGCCTCCCGGGTGGTGCAGAGGGTTGAACGCTGCTCTGTGAAGCTATCCGCAGCCTCTGCAGTGTGGGTTCGATTCCTGACCAGCCAGGGAGAAACCCACATGGCGTGGCAGACCTCTCCTGCCTCGCCCGCTGCTCCCCTCAGCAGTGTATTTCGTCAGTCTGCCTGTTCTGATCCCTTCTCTGTCTCTGGTGAATTCTCTCACCCTCCCGCACCTCTAATCTGTACCCCAGTTCTTATATATATAAATACAATCTTTAAAAAACAAAAAAGCTACTTAAAATGTGTAACACAATAATAAACCCCCTCGAAAATGTTTCTGCAGGTATGCCGGTATCCTCCTGGGCATCACAAACACATTTGCCACTGTTCCCGGAATGATTGGGCCTGTCATTGCTAAAAGTCTAACCCCTGATGTAAGTAGATAATTTGCTTTTAAACTGAAAAGGTTTAAAGAGTTCACCTGGAGCTGCACAACTGTGACAAAGTTGAGTGTATTGTAATTAAGGATAAAATTCTCAATGTTTATTCATATGCAGTTCTTTGTAGCATAATGCTAAATGCCTTAAAGAGTAGGAAACTATATTTTCAAAGAATACTGTTGGAGTTTTAAATAGCATAGAACTAAGTTAAATGAACATCTCATGGCTAAAACTGTATTTAGCATGATTTTTTTTTTTAATAGAGGCATGCTTTATTTATTTATTTGTTTGTTTTTGTTTATACATGCACTGGGTACAGTCAGAAGCGCGGGAAGGTGAGAGAATTCACCAGAGCCAGAGCGGGGAGCAGAGCAGGCAGAAGGACCGAAGTACACTGCTGAGGGGAGCAGCGGGCGGCAGGAGAGGTCTGGGCGCCATGTGGGACCCTCCGGTGGCCGGGGAGCAGCCGGGGATGGAACCGGCGCCGCAGGCCGCGGGCAGCTTCGCAGCCCAGCGCTCAACCGCTGTGCCACAAGGGTGGCCCTGTATTTAGCATGATTTATACCACATTAATAACTTGTGTCTTTGGTTTGAACAAATAAAAATTGGCAATGTAAAATTATTCAAGAGATGGATCCACAAAAGTGAGGTGTTAGGAAATCATGTGAGAATGAATGAAGAACAGCTGAAATAAGACTGTTTAGAGGAGCATAAGACTTGAGAATACATGATAGGTGTCTTCACACATTTCAAGGACTACAATATAAAATTTGGTGACTTATTCATGGCAATTCCACAAAGATAGAGAGAAGTTATGAGAAGACAATAGGCAGTTTTTCTGTTTAATGCTGTTACTTCATGGAATTGTCTGTCTACTACCTTAAAGGCCCTGAAATAATCAAACATGTATTCAACAAGCGTTTCTTGAGTGCTTATTAACATGCTAAATACTGAGGATTTAAAGGCAAAATAACAAGCTTCTGTACTTGAGAAGCTCATCTTTCAGAGATTATACATAATTGCATAGTTAAAATGCAGTGTGACAGCTATTGTAGAAAGAAATATGTGCAGAGTGCTTTGGGCACAGAGTAGGAATCAGTCAGTTTTGTGGACTAGGAACATAGAGCAGTCAGCCAGAGGCGTAGTCAAGGCTGATACTCAGAACTGTACAGCAAGCCCTTAGAAGCAGGATGGGCCCCAGATTGGTCTGACCTGAAGGTGTCAGTGGCAAAGAGCCAAATCAGTAAGCAGAAACTCAGCATTATAAAAGACTCCCTATATTGTAGGAGAAATCGAAATAAATGACCTCAATGACCCCTTCCAACTCCATTTCTATTAAAAAAAAATCTAATGGACTAGCTTAACATATTCAAGAGACTGCCTTAAACCTCTAGAAGAGACTCTTTTTTTGTTGTTTGTTTGTCTTTGTGATCAAGTTAACACAATCTAAGCCATAGAATTTCAGGATACATGATTACCAGATATACAGATTCCAAATACATATATGTTCTCCACAGGTAGTATCCCTATTTCTTCTCCACTCCTACCACTTCCAATTCCTTACTTGAATGAGTCGATGCCTCATTACTATTTCCTCTCACTTAATTGAAAAGGATTATTAGGAAAGGGTTTTTTTCCCCCTCTTCTAAAATGCTGCGTCTCAATATGGGTATATCAGAAATATTTAATATTCATGGAACATTCTGCCAATAGAAGAACCTAAGTCAACATATTACTATATATTAATTTCACTTATTGTTGATAATCCTAGCACTTCTGCTAGGGAGTCATGAACTCCTAAAGTTTTAAATGTTTATAAAGTAAGAACTTAAACTGGATTTTGGATATGTTATTACAAAACGTGTATTTAAAGTTATTCAAGGATATTACTTCTAAAAAGAAAAAAATTGCTTTAACCACTATAACTGCTTACAATTAAAATTTGCGGGCCTCCCTGGTGGCGGAGGCGGTTGAGCGTGGCACTGCAGGGGCTGTCCGCAGCCCCTGCAGTGCCGGTTCGATGATTGCAGCCGGCCTTGGAGCAACCCACATGGCGAGCAGACCTCTCCTGTCGTGCCCGCTGCTCCCCTCAGCAGTGTGTTTCGTCGGTCTGCCTGATCTGTTCCCTGCTCTGTCTCTGGTGAGTCCTCTCACCCTCCCGTGCATCTGGTCTGTGCCCCAGTCCTTTTATAAATTTAAAAAAAAAAATGAATCTTTAAAAAAAAAATTTGCTACACTGCTTCATAAACTTTTGGAATGATTATAAATAATAATGAAATAGGGCCTCCCTGGTGGTGCAGGGGTTAAAGTCTTAGGGCTATTGGGCCTCTCTGGTGGCTCATGGGTTGAGCACAGCACTATGAAGCTGTCCACAGCCTCTGCAGCACAAGTTCGATCCCCTGCTGGCCAGGGAGCAACCCACATGGCACAGCAGACCTCTCCTGTCTCACTCGCTGCTCACCTCAGCAGTGTATTTCAGTAGATCTGCCTGTTCTGCTCCCCACTCTGTCTCTGGTGACTCTTCTAACCTCCCAACCCCCCGCACCTCTGGCCTTCACCCCAGTTCTTGTATGCATAAATAAGTAAAAATAAATCTTTTTTTAAAAAGCTGAAAGTGTGTAAGGTTCACTTTTGCTACAAACAAAACAGCATTCTCTAAAAAATGGCAGAGTTTTTGTTAAAAAAAACAACTAGGAGCTATATTAGAGTTTTAGTACAATTGATTGATTTTAAGTCATTCACTGCCACCAAAAAAACTGAGGTATTATCTTATTCTGTAGACCACAGTGAAGCCTTGTCTTAGGAATTCTAAAAGGCTGTCAAACATTTTCCTGGTAAATAATGCAATGATTAACTGATTCTACCTCTAGAATAGTTATACATTGTTAGCATATCTAAATAGTCATTAAAATTAAGAGTGCTAAGATTTATTTTTCACCAAAGTATATTCATCTCAGAATAGTACAACTACAAAGGGCTCCTTGCTTTCTGCATATTTTTCTTTTTCCCTAAATACATGACCTTATACTAGCTTCCTAGTGACTTTCCTTTGCTGCCTCATTGCCAATTAATTCTACTGCTTGTTGGATTTTTTGGTGGTTTTTGTTTGTTTTGCTATAAGAAAAATGCTACAAATGCTACAAATGTAGTACTCTGGTTACATTGGAACTATAAGAATTTTAAAAATGTCATTAAGCTTAGTCACATGACCTGGAAATTAGATAACTGCCTGAAGTTTTTATACCACTGGATTATGCATTGATCAATTATTTTTGATGATCTCTTATTGAATAAATTCCATGTATGTCTTGCAGGCCAGGCCTCAAAAACTGAACTTCAGAGTCCATCTCCATCTTTATACCTCTCACCTGTAACAACTTGGGAGATGATATACAGGCATAATACTTCCCTACTTATACAGAATCCAAAGACATGTACACATTTTATTTGTTTTAAAATTAAAGTATATTCCTTGCTTTTTATTGAAGTATAACATGTATATTTTAAGTGCACAAATCCTAAGTATCCAGGTGGACAAATTTTTACAAATTTAATACATACCTATAGCCAGTACCCAATAAAGAAACAACATTAACTACCTTGCAGAGCACCTAGGTACCCCTTCCTGCCATTCCTCTTTGACCCCCATTAAAAGGAATCACCATTCTGACTTTTAACACCACAGATTAGTTTTGTCTCATTTTAAGCTTCATATAAATGAAAGCATCCAATATGTACTTTTTTGTATCTGGCTTCTTTTACTTAACATTTGTGTGTGAGATGTATCTGTGGTGTTGTAGCTCATTCATTCTAGTGCTGTATAATATTCCATTGAACAAATACAGTCATGTGTCTTAACATTTTGGTCAACAACAGACTGCATATATGACTGTGGTCCCAGTGGGCTAAACCATATAGCCTAGGTGTGTAATAAGCTGTACCATCTAGTTTTGTGCAATTATACTTTATGAATTTCACACAACAAAATTGCCTAATAACACATTTCTCAGGACACATCCCGAACATTAAGTGCCACAGTTCCCTGTTGTACATTTGGGTTGTTTCTGGCATGAGGCTTTTACAAATAATGCTACTATTATAATAGTCTTGTGACACCACATTTTTTGCTAATTGAACTACAAACAAAAAATTTTTTCATTTGTATTTCTTTTCTTTCTTTCTCTGTAGAACACTATTGGAGAATGGCAAATTGTTTTCTGTATTGCTGCTGCTATTAATGTATTTGGTGCCATATTCTTCACGTTATTTGCCAAAGGAGAAGTGCAAAGCTGGGCTCTCGGTGATCACCATGGACACAGAAACTGAAGGAACTAATAAATAATCCTGTCTCTATTAATGTATTTTTGTTTATCATGTAACCTGAAAGTGCCTTTGATATTTAATGTGTAAACATTCTATATACAAGAAAAAAATTGTACTTGGATTAAATTTTTAAGGCTTATAATCATGAAATGTCACCAGATTACTAGAATTAGCTATTTTTAATTATTAATAAAGCACATACGCTGGAACTTATACTGTAGGGCCACAGACCTGGTTGCAAATCAGGTAATATGAAGTAGAGGGTTTGTGTTTACTCTTAATAGGCATACTAAAAGGAATGCGCTGAGATGGACCCCTCTATAACTTTGCTTAATTAACTAAACCAGATAATCCTCAGGTCTTAGTAAATACTTGTTTTTGTCTGCTTTCCTTGCAATCCCTGACACTTAGGTCTCAAACTTTAACATCTCCACAGAGCAGCCAGCCACTGTCTAATTTGGCCTGGCAACTTCAAGGAGGGAAGCATGCCCAAGCAGCTGCCAAACATTCCTTCCCTGGCTTCAGGGCCAGTGCCCAGCCTTTACCAGGAGCAGCATCCAAGACCAGGGCAGTGCCAAGTCTCTGGATAGTGTTCTTCCACTGGGAGCTGTTAATGTGTCGGTAAAGCCCTGAGTGGCAGGAGCAATGAGATCCATGGCTGTGGCCTTGACTCATCCTCAGACATTCCCTTCCCAGCACACTGGGTTATTGACTGGCATGTAACCTGCCAAAGAAAAATGGATGCCCCATTAACCACAAATACCCTCATCCTTGACTAAAACTACCTTCAGGTAAAACAGAGAATAAATTTTCAAGTTCTGTTTTATGAGCTGCACCAAAATTAGAAACAAGTCAGCAACAAAAACCTCTCATGTCTTCTTCTGTCTATATGTTAAGTTTCTGGTTGCCATTTGAGATTGAAGTGACTTTCACTTGGCCAAGTTATCTGAGACCCAAGGTGTAATAATCTTTATTGCAGCTTATGAAATCATATTTTTCCAGTTTTATCTGGACCATCTTCCAAGGGTTTTGGAGTCATACTTTAAGTGCATTTATGTGATTTAGGATTTGATTCATGTTTTATTATGTTTGTTCAACACTACCTATAACATTTTAACCAAAACTTCAATGTAATATCATGTTAATACATTTATGTAAATCTATTTTTAAATATGTAAATAGCTTTAAGTTGCTATTGGTGATATTTCTATTATAAATCATCAAAATAAATCTTTTGGATTGATTTTTGGAACTGACCATTCTGTGATATTTGCTGGTGTCCACAGTGGCTATTTCACATTTTTTTCTGACGTCCTTCTCAAGCTACCAGTCTACCTCTGCATGCATCTCTGCCAACCCCAGGCTGAAGAGATTTAGGCTAAGTGACTCAGCATCAGAAACCTTGATTGCCATCAACCTGTCCTTCCTAGCTCTGAAAAGGGTCCCATCTTCTGGCTAAAGAGTATAACTATTTTACTGATCTGTATTCTCCCACCTCCTCTGAGATCTTGCTTCATTAATTCCTCTTTAACTTGCTCCTTCAATCTCTACCTCCCTATTCTACCCTTTGAAAAAAGCAAAGCTACAGAACTCCCTGGGTGATGCAAAACACACACACACACAGTCTACAGAATAGCTCTGAAATGATACTCAAGAAACTGGAAACTGGTTACTTTCAGTGAGAAAAAATAAACAACCAAGGTATAGAAAGGAGAAATGTCACCCAATGTGGCAGTATAGATGTAGGGTAAGGTAAAAAATCAGGCTTTTCTGCCCTCCCGCCATCAGGGTAGATGAGGGAATCCTGTGATCCTGAATGCATGCCTGATGGTGGGCACCTGAAGTAGATACACCTGCGCCAAGACTGTGCTTTTAAGGGCGGCATCACAGGGATGCAAGAAGCCGAGAAAGCAGCAGCAGAAGCCGAGCAGAAGCCGAGAGAGAAGCAAGAGAAGCCGAAGCAGAGAACGCCAGAGAGCCCAGATAGAGTGAGGATTTGCTGGGGGCTGGGAGGACTGCCAGCCTCCCAGCCCCCCAGCACCCCTGCCTGCCATATGCCTGGTGAACCCCAATAAAAGACCTGCAAAAACCCACTGAGGACTCTGACTCCTCCTTTACCCAGTCTGCATGGGATCAGAAAACCTGCACTGTGTCCTGTCCTGCCCCTTAAAATTGGCATAAGTCGGCAAGATGATCCATGCAGACAGGTATGGAGCCCTCCGAAGACCTGGAGGGACTAAGGAGTAAAAGACTACCTGTGACGACGCCGGAGACATCATGGCGACCCAGGAGATGGACAATGTCCAGGATCTACGGGATAAGACCTCGCCAGGAGGAGAAGGAGATGCCCAAGAGTACCAGCCAATGACACCTGAAAGGACCAGCCAACGACCCCTGAGGCAGCAGAATCATCGGCGAAAAGTGGACCGCGATTCAGAGCTCGCCAGTGCTGTCGCAGGGAGAGGCCAACGGACTTCGACTGCTGGACATGGACTGATGAACTTGGACTGACAATCCCGCCAGAAGGGGGAGGATCTTGCAGGTTGATATGTTTTGGGACCCTGGGGGTGGAACAGTTTTGTTTGTAAACCCCAGGAGATGGGAATCTGGGGGTGGCCAGTGGGCCTTGATGGCCAAAAGCAGCATGCGCATGCCCAGCAGCCAGGTGGAGGAGAAAAGCCAACTGAGAAGGCAAAAGCTGGTACTGATGCTAAGTTGAGAAGCCCTGAGTGGCTGTTAAGCAGCCTGAGTATGCTGAAGACATGAGTCTCGTAAAATCACCTGTGGGTGATGCCCTGCTCATTCTTGAGTGAGGGTGAGGAGCTGAGGAACCCGTCCTTGGGGGACGGGTGGGGAAGGTGGCTTGGGGTGGAGCCCAAGCCGCATGTAGAGTTTGGATCCCCAACCCATGTGCTTGTGCAGTGGGTTGGCCTGAGTGCAGGGGTCTGCAAGTCGCATTGGTGGCTATGAAGGCCGAGTGTTGGAGCAACTGCAGACAGAAACCCTGAGGGTTGGCGATTACCCCCAACAGAATTGAATTGCCAATCCCAGAGCGAGTGCATCCTGGGGGTGGATGCTGTGTGTGGCTTGTAGCCAAGACTACAGCCAGAGAAGGCCAGGAAGCCTGACGGCTCCTGGTGTGTTACAGTAGATGCCGTGAGTGATTCCCCTCCCTCGTATGAGCAGTGCCTTCGGCAGCAGATTTGGTGGCTCATCTGCTGGTACCAATAATTGTCTTTTGCACTAGGTTGGGGCCCTGCCTGGACTTATTTGTGTTCTGTTGTATTTTGTTATATTGCGATGTATTTGCTTTTGTGGGCCATGGCTGCATTGTTTGTGTTTGCTAAGAAACAAAGTTGTGTATGTGTGGATTATGTGGTAGAAAATCCTGAGGGGGTGGACTGTAGGGTAAGGTAAAAAATCAGGCTTTTCTGCCCTCCCGCCATCAGGATATATGAGGGAATCCTGTGATCCTGAATGCATGCCTGATGGCGGGCACCTGAAGTAGGTACACCTGCGCCAAGACTGTGCTTTTTAAGGGCGGCATCACAAGGATGCAAGAAGCTGAGAAAGCAGCAGCAGAAGCCGAGCAGAAGCCGAGAGAGAAGCAAGAGAAGCCGAAGCAGAGAACGCCAGAGAGCCCAGATAGAGTGAGGATTTGCTGGGGGCTGGGAGGACTGCCAGCCTCCCAGCCCCCCAGCACCCCTGCCTGCCATATGCCTGGTGAACCCCAATAAAAGACCTGCAAAAACCCACTGAGGACTCTGACTCCTCCTTTACCCAGTCTGCATGGGATCAGAAAACCTGCCCTGTGGTCAGTCCTGCCTCTACAATAGACTATTCAGATAAATACCTCACTGAGAAAACAAAAAAGAAAAAAAACAACTGCACAAAGCTACTGTATAAACATCACCAGGTTCTAACTTGCTACTGGTCATCCCCAAATGCTTACCTTTGCAGGTTAGACTTGCTTAAAATCCAACCTTACTTCTGCACTCCCATCCCAATAAAGCTGGATGTTCTATTTATTCCTGCTAAAAATTTCATTTTTGGAGCCTCCCTGGTGGCACAAGGGGTTAAGACGCAACGTACGAAGCTATCCGCAGCCACTGCAGCACAAGTTCAATCCCGGGCCAGGGAGCTACCCACATGGCACAGCAGATCTCCTGTTCTCCCGCTGCTCCCCTCAGCAGTGTATTTTCAGTCAATCTGCCTGTTCTGCTCCCCACTCTGTCTCTGGTGAATCCTCTCACCCCCTACACCTCTGGCCTGTCCCCCAGTTCTTGCATGCATAAATTAATCTTTTTTAAAAAAATTCATTTTCCCAGTTGCTTAGGCTTGGACCTAGAATCATTTTTTATTCTTTCTCCCTAATCTCCTACCCCACCCTCAAGTCTAATTCACCATCTGTCTTTTTCATTCCAACTTTTCAAATCTCTGGAATTTTTTTTAGTATCTGACATCTAAATAAGATCCTTGTGGTTTTTGTTTCCTCTGAATAGAGAGGTCAAGTGATCTCACAGCCTTTAGGCTGATCCACCTCTGTCCAGCTTCCCACTCTGTAGGGTAGGTAAAATGTATCAGGCTTTTCTGCCCTCCCGCCATTAGGATAGATGAGGGAACCCTGTGGTCCTGAATGCATGCCTGATGATGGGCACCTGAAGTGGGTACACCTGGGCAGAAAGACTGGTCTTTTAAGGGCAGCGTCACAGGCATGCCAGCAGCAGCAGCAGAAGCCAAGAGAGAAGCCAAAGAAGCAGAAGCCGAGAGAAGGCCGGAGAGCCCAGAGTGAAGACCTGCTGGAGGCTGGGAGGCCTGCCAGCCTCCAGGCCCCCCAGCACCCCTGCCTGCCGTGTACCTGGTAATCCCAATAAAAACCTGCAAAACCACTGAGGACTCTGACTCCTCCTTTACCCGGTCTGCTGGATCATAGAAAACCTGCACTGTGTCTTTCCTGTCCTGCCTCTGCACACCCTGACTGGGTTCACCAGCCCAGTGTACCTCAAAGGACTTCCCTTTGCATACCCAATGAACTTTAGCTAGCTGCCTGCCCTCCTCATTCCTAGGCCCAACCTAATCCATCCTCATCTTCCACCACACCTGGTTACAGCTCCATTTACTATTTAATTCTTCCCCCACTGGCTCTCTATGCCCTTACTAACTTAATTCCTTGCTCCTGGTAGGACAATCTTCATCTCTACCTCCTGCATGACCCCTGATTTCTTCCATCTTCCCTGGTTTAGATGTGGCCTCTACATTTGATCCACTGAAACACCCTATTATTTATTTTGAGATGTTTCTTTACAGTAAACTCAACATATCAGGCTTAGTGATGAGGAAGATATCATTCATGCATACATGCATTAGACAAATGTAAGTATCTACTCTTCATCAAGTGTAAGTATCTACTCTTTGCTAGGCAACAAGGATACAAGAATGAGTTTAACACAGTCCTCCCGCCCCTCAAAGTCTCCCTGAAGTTCAGTCAGGCTTCTTAATCTAACTCCTCCACAGCCCTCTCATTGTAACAGGGTGGTCCCCAGGAAAGGGGGAGGTTCCCTGCCCCACCCAAGGGAGGGTGGAGCTGAGCAGGAAGAGGAGAAGCTGCAGAAGAGACTGAGGAAGGAGCAGGATGGAGCCAGGAGACCTGGAGGAGGCGCATGGAGCCTAGAGACACGTGAAGAAACTGTGCTTGTCTTTTGGTCGTGGACTGGGTGACACAGATGTGGGTGAGACCCGTGGGGAGGTGACAATGGCAGCTTTTGTCTTGATTTTGATTTTGCTCTTTTCCTTCCGGGCTTGTCTGGTTGTTTCTGGCCCTTTTCTGTGGGTCCCCACTGGAAGATGCTTTAGACTTTTGGCAGGCTTTGGGGCCTTGTTCTGGGCCGATCCCATATGGATGGACTTTTACCCACGAGGGGACGGGTAACTTTGGGTGCTTCACTTAGAAACTAGACTCTTTGCCTTACCTGTATTGTTTCCTAGTTTTATTAAAGTTCCTTCCCATTAAAGTCTCATATGTTTTGTGTTGATGCGGCGGATGGCAGAACCCATTTAGAATAGGCAGGTTTGCGGGGTTTGGGCTACCCTTCTCCCTGTCCTATAACATCATTATAAAACATAGAACACTTGTTTGTGTCTGTCTCCTTGTTAGATTCATCACAAACACCTGGAGGGCAAGTCCATTTGCTTTTTTTTTTTTAACTTTAAATTTTTTTTTAAAGATTTATTTATTTATACAAGCACTG